CCTGCACAAAGGATAAAGGAGCCTGTGGACTGTATTTCCAGGCCTAGCCAAAGGCGACTTTGTTCAGAGCTCCCTCCCCACCCCCAGGGGGACAGTGATTTATTTTCCCTTCCAGGAATAGGGCCCCAGATGTGAATGGGAGGCTGGCCCACATCCCTACCTCACAGGGGCTAGGCCTGGCTCCCGAACATCCACCTCACTCCAGCCACACTCTGATCAGCCACAGCCTGTGAAGAAAAGAGGCCTCCTACAGCCTGGTTAACAGCCAGGGTCAGCTCCACACAAATGGCAGCCATCATCTCCCACAGCATCTCATGTCCTCCTTCTCTATGACACGGCGCTGTAGCAGACTGCTGAGACTATGCTGCACTGGACAGTCATGGCAGGCACCCTAGCTGCCGATCAAGGCCAGCTCACTCCAAACACATCTGCCCATCTGCCCAAAACCAAAGCCATCTGCCCAAACACAAAGGCTGGGCACAAACGACAGGAGTAAAAAGACAGGAGTCTGTGCTGGCTGCTCAGATTCTGATCCTGGAACCATCCTTATAAAAGCTCAGAGGTGGCATTTCTTGGAAAGCCCTACACTTGCAGGCTTATCTTTGAGAATGGTATTCTGTTCTGAAACTTACATTCTCATTGTGAGAAATACAACAGAGTAAACCAAAATTTATCTTTCTTCAAGTTTGGGGGCAAATATCTTAAGGCAAACTTTGTGACCAACGTTGTGAAACTTTGGGCAAAGGGGAACTTTTAAAATATGATCCGAATCTAGAGATGTACGGATTCCAATAACTGTGACACCCCAGGGAAATGGCTTTCAAAACAGCCCAAACTCTACATGCAGTTCTCTGGCCCATCTTAAGATAGAAATTGGGCCTACTCACGGAAGAACCAATGGAGAAGGAATGCATTTGGAATAACTTTGCCCCTCCAGTCCAGATTGCGCCTGAAGGAAGAAGTCAGCATAATTCAGGAAACGCCATTCTTCCTCCCCAACCACAGGGCCCTTGCCCTTGGAAGACAGCTCTTTCCAGCTCCCTAATGCTGGCCAGAGCCCTTCACAAGCATAGCCAGGGCCAGATATAAGGCTCAGTCTAAAGGCTGTAACCAAGGGAGACAAGGCAGAAGTGGTGGCCCCTGTAGGGCCATCAGCAAAAAGGTAGGGTACTGCTTGCCCATTGCCACCCATCAATCAGCCTGAAGGTCCAGCCAGGGATCATGGCAAAGCAGAAGCCTTCAGAGCCTCCCTGGCTGACCAGCCAAAGAAGAGGCAGGTGCAGGGATGGGGGTTATCCAGATAAAAGAGAAATCAAAGACTGGACCACCAGTTGGGGAGTGAAGAGACAACTCACTCAGCATGGCCCAAGTGCCTTCATGCCCAGGACACTGTCCAGCCCAGCTGTGCCTGGACAGCCCCTACTCTCCCGGCCAGCCAGTCCCCAAGCAGAAGGGGGGGTGTAATAGTGGCATAAGGCCCACCTGGGCCGCCACCCGCGGCCCAACACCAAACGTGGCCATATAAGGCCAGGTTGGGCTCAGTGCGCCCGCGCTGGTGGCGGGGGGAGGAGATGCGAAGCCTCAGAGGACTGGTGGACAGAGCAAGGACAACTCTGAATGGCCAACACACCCAAAGTGCCCGCCTGGCCGCAAGTCCTGCCTAACCATAGGGGAGGCCAGCACCATGTCCCGTGACACTAGAACACGGCGGGCAAAAATCCATGGGCATGTATCATTCATCAGCTATGGATTCCCTTTGCCAGGGCTGAGTCTAGGGCAGAGCTCTCCACAGGACATCTGATGGGTAAGGCTGTGTCAAAGCTGTAGCGTGGTGTATGCTACAACAAAGTGGTGTGTGGCCCTGAGGTCTAATATCTTCATGTGTCTTTCTCAGAGACCAACCCTCACTGGGCGTTCTGGGGACCCCCCAGCCTCTACACTATGCTACCTGTAATTGATAAGCCAGCCAAGGGTCCAGAGCTGGGTCAGCTGAGGGATGGATCAGGGTGAGCTCCAATCATCAAGATATCACCAACACTGTCTACATTCAGCTAACCACTGTGTGAGTCTCTACAGGTTCCCAGGGACCCAATCAGGCATTCTGTGGCCAAAGAGTCCACTCTCCAAGAATCTATGGGGTGACCACCTGCCCTCCACCTAGAAATGCACCTGAAATTATGTGTATGCAAGATTATGAGAGTATCCTGGAGGAGACCTGGGCAAGATCACACTTGGCCAACAAGTTAAGTGATTTGGGGGCCCTTTGGGTGAGGTATCAGCCAAGGAGGGAGGATGAGCTTCGGGTACCAGAGTGTGAGCCAGGTAACCCCATGAGTAGTGAGCTGGCGCCATGTGAAGCAGGCAATACTTGGGGTTAAGGATCAGGAGTGGGAGCCCGCTGCGACCGGGCAGACAAGGAGGGGAGGAGTGTGCCAGGCGGGCACTGTGGCAGGGTTCAGGGCTGGCGGGAAAGGGGCGGCGCTGCCGAGGCCAGA